GTGCCTCGAGATTTTTTCAATGAAAAACTGTACCTTGGCTCAAAAAAGGTTGAAAAACACTGATCTAGATTAATTTAGGATTTGACCCGTGTTGCTGAGAGAGGCGGTGATAAAAACCTCCTGCTGGTCACAATTCAGCTGAAATCGTGTCTCAACTGCAGCCTGCAGAGCCGAAGAGGAAGTGGTGTCGGAGGCTTTGCAGATTCACGTCCAGCCGACTATTGCTCAGCAACACGCAATCACAACTTACAACATTTCCCCTAAATATCTAACCATCAGACTTAGACGGTCACAGACTCACTCAGACATATTTCCCACCACGCCGGTTCTCAGGACTGCCGGTTCTCCCCGTTCAGAGGTATTTATCTCACACTTTACGTCTAAATATGCAGGAATAATCCCAAAATAGGCTGATTTTAGATTAAGGAATAACTAGTGTTAAGTATAATTTAAAAAAAGTCCACTTAACTATTGTGTAACCAAGTTTTAGTGTTGAAATAATTCTCCTTTTTAAGAGCTAATTTTACTAATAATTGAGAGAAATTAAGTATTTGAGCACGTGCTGTAATCAGGATAATTTTAAATCCGGACTGGATTAGTTTATTAATATATTTTTTCTCGGATTTCCGTTTGATTCAGTTTGAAATTTTGATAAGAGTCTGAACAGAGAAAATATTATCTATTAACTATTTTACTGAAGCGCTTTAAGGCTTTTGCACTCGCGGGAAAATCAAATCCATGTAAAATAAAAAAGATTTTTTAAGATATATCAAAGGTAATTTTTTCCCCTTTTTTCTAAGATCAGTTTGCTTATCTAAACCTGTTTAGAGCATTTTTTATTTAGTATTTCTGAATTTAGACTTAAACATATGAGCATTTGCTTTTGATTAATGATGATAAGGCCAGCTCATTTACTCTGAAAATAAAAGGTAATAATAGGAGGTTTTTTATGTGTATCTTTGACCTTAATTTCTCTATTTACGTAGGCGGATTTGAAAAGATGAAACAGATAATTACTTCTGTGCCTCCGTGCCTTAGCTCTCAGCTCAGTGGAGTCAAGCAATTAAAAAAAAAACTTTAAAAAATAAATCCATATTTATTCGTTAATCACCCACACCCAGTGTGGGAATCTGAATCAGAAAAAGCTTTATTGCCAAGTTTTTGGACATACAAGGAACTTGTTTTGGCTTAAAATCCCTAAATGTGAAGAATCAAATAACCAGAAATACAGTATAAATTCAACCATAAATATATATACACAGTAAAATCTCTAAATTATTTTTAAATAACTTACTTTAAAGGTAATTTTCCCCTGTTTTCTAAGTTCAGTTTGCTTATTCAAGCCCATTTAGGCTTAAATATTTCAAGCGTTTGTTGTGATTAATGGTAATAATAATGCCAAATATAGAAATATGAATATATATATATATACACAGTAAATATAAGTGAGTAAAACTAAATGACTTAAAGCAGGACAACAGACAGTTCTAGTAAAATACGAACACAAGTCCGAGCTGAGCGCTGACTTTCTTACAGAGATAACGTTACCATGGAGATGTTCCGCGCCCACTCCAGTCGCTACGGTTGCTACGGCAGCGACCAATCAGGACTGGTCTACTACGCGGTGACACTGAGCGTGGTCTCCGTCGGCCTGCCTTTGACCCTGGTGGCCATTTATGCCGTTTATTCTCTGGTACGAGACATCTGGAGCAAGTTTTGGCGTTTTAAAAATGGCGTTCGTGTTTTAGTTTAGTTTTGTTTATTTAATTTTACTTAACTAGTTAAATTAATTGTATTTTTTAAAGTTAAGTTAATTGTATTTTTTTAGTTAAATTTATTTTATTTTTCTGTTAAATTAGTTGTATTTTTTTAAGTTAAATAAATTTTATTTCTGTAGCTAAATTAATAGTATTTTTTTGTGAAATTAATTTTATTTTCTTAGTTAAATTAATTTTATTTTTTTAGTTAAATTAATTGTATTTTTTTAAAAGTTAAATTAATCATAGTTTTAAAGTTAAATTGATTTTATTTTTTAGCTAAATTACTTGTATTGTTTTAATTCAATTAATTGTATTTTCTTTTATAAAATAATGTTATTTTTGTAGTTAAATTAATCAGGTTTTTTTTTTTTGTTAAATCTGTTTTAGTTACATTTTAATTTGAATCTAATTAGTTATTTTTTTGGCACAGATCCATACCGATAACGTGGCCCCGGTCTACCTGGTGAACCTCCTGACCTCTGACCTCATCCAGCTGTGCAGCCTCATCGCCCTGGCAACCACGAACAGCCCCACGGTCTGCGACGTGTTTCTCTACGTCCTCCAGATCGGCATGATGGTCAGCATCTGCTTCATGGTGGTCATCGCCATGGAGAGGTAAGGGGGGGGGGGGGGGGGGGGGTCTGATCCTGGCCCCTTCTCTGGTCCTAGCCCTGACCCTAACCCCGGCCCTGGTCCTTTCTCTGGCCCTAGCCCTGGTCCTAACCCTAGCCCTGGCCCTGGTCCTTTCTCTGGTCCTGGTCCTGGCCCTAACCCTAACCGTAACCCTGGTCCTGGTCCTGGCCCAAACCCTAAACCTGATCCTGGTCCTGGCCCTAGCCCTAGTCCTAACCTTAGCCCTGACCCTAACCCCGCCCCCCCTTCTGCAGGTACCTGGTGGTGGC